TTACCGTCGAGTGGAAACCGTGTGTGTGTGTGTGTGTGTGTGTGTGTGAAGCTTTCTCAGTAGGGGATATTTGAAACACCTGATCGTATAGGAGCATTTCGGGCGGTGCTAGTGAAGTAACCAGTCACAACCAAAGACAGTTGCCCGGATCACACTGAGGTTTTAGGAAAAAGTATTTCGGAACAGTTCTTCTGAAAAGAAGCTAATGTGGAGCACCCAGATACTTCTGTACACGTTTTTTTCGACCAGCGTGCACCTCATTGTGACGCGATGAGTTGAATGCCCATTAAGCGATGTTGAGATGGCCTGTCGTAGATAGCAAATTACATCATTTCCTAATTAAAAATTCTGATCCTGCTGTATAAACTTAAAATGGCCACTCGGTACGGTCTAAGAAATTCTCTTTACTGAGGTTTCGTTGACATCTTTGGAAACTTGACATGCATGGTATCGAATAGAGATTAATAGAAGTTCACTTTCACTGCGTCACCTGATTCAACATTAACTCTCTCAAACATTGACCTCCTATGTTTTCCTTTGATGCAATCACTCGAGGAAACAAATTTCAGCGCAGCAATAAGTCAATAAACTCTAGCCATCAAATGATGTTAGAATCCAGTTTTGCATTGCCCGCGTTGCGTATATCTTACACTCTTGCTCTTGTCGATTTCACGGTTTTGGGGCAGGTCTCTAAGTCAAGTACGGTGGTGACCCACTGGTAACACCGCCAATTTNTTATTATCCCGGCGGTGTGTGTTCGAATCCCACCGCCACCGCCTATCTTGTCCTCATTGTGTGTTAAATGGCAGCCCTTTGATTAGCCGCTTTTCCTATCTGAGAATTGTATCTTTATATATCCAATAAAAGGAATTAAAAGAAAGGAAAAAAGAAGAATGGACTTTATCGTATCCATGTTCAATACTATGCTTGAACTAATGAGATGGTATTTGTGTAAGTACTACTGTATATTTGTATTAATAAAGAAAAAATAGTACTGATTTCGGTAAAGGTACCTTGCGCAACAGGTTCTTCGTTGACTGTGGTTTTGACTCTTATCTGTCAGAGCTTCCGATTGAAAATGCTTATAATTTTGAGAGTTATATCTCAGAAACTGAGAGCGCCCTGTCCTTTCAAGCCTTTGAAAATAACTGACTTTATTTATTTTCTTTGCGAGGGCAATCCGGGACACACTGGGGCAGTATGCACAACTGACGCGTCGGAGTACGTGAAGAGAAACCGTGATTTTCAACGATCTTCGCGTAATGCATGTTACGGTGGTGTTTGATGATGTTCATTGAGTGATCATCA